TTGTCGATCAAGACTTTGCTGGTGAGCTAATAGTAAAATTAGTAAGCTAGAATGGACAATATGGCAACCCTTGTGTACTTTGGCAAACTCAGCAAAATAAATCAAATAATTGATCAGAGTACCATTTCTGGAGTCATGTCTTTTGGTGTTGCACCGGGACTTGCAACTACACTCTGAAGCAAAAACTTGTCCTTGCATTGCAAGTCAGAAGGAGGCTCCTTCTGTGCTTGCATTGTCACTGTGATTGAAGACGCAGAGTTTTAAATTAAGTAGAAAACTAAATGAAGAACAAACTTTTGAATATATCAGCAAACAAAATATTCGACTTTTGTTACAAAATTGGAAGAAGAGAGGATAGATAAGAAAAAATTTCTCAACCTTTGTCATATATTGTAAGAACCACCTAAAAAGATACAAAAATGTAAATGCTTAAAAAGGATTATGTCCTGAAAAAAGAAGAAAAGATATGAAAATCACATTAGGCTTTCATGGAGTTGCAGTTAAAGGGTCAAGCCATCAAAGTCCCTTTTTCCAAGACTCAAATTTCTATTTCCAAATTAGTAAAGCTATTTATCCAGAGTCGATTAAGTAATTGATACATCTTAAATGGGACCCATCTAAATATTTAAAAGGTCCAATTACTTAATACCACTTAATTGACAATTAGACTAATGACCATCGGTAGTCTCGATGGATCGCATTGTTTTTTTCAAATGCCAAAGTTTTGATTTCATTTCTGCAGTTGGAGCAATAATTAATTTTTCAAAATCAAGCTGATACCTTTATTTTTGAATATCCAAAATTCTCCAACTATTTCGAAAATACCATCTAGCGGAGTTCAATACGTCCCCATTTGATAGGGGTGAAAATCTAGATTTTAGTACAAGTCAAAGTATACAATTAATTTTAACAGCATATTTCGTGAGCCCTCGAAATTTTTTTTTAACTAAGAGGATTGAAAACGACAATTTTGAGTACCAAAATAAGCAAGTTAGATTGACTAACCAAAAAGACAATCAGTTTGTCGATACAAAAAAATATGTATATCTATGTATCTAACGCTATACAAA